GAAAGAACCCTATCCGAGGACCTGAGTTCAACTCTCACTTCTAAAACTTATTACTTGTGTGACCGAGATCACCATTTAACTTCCTTGGACTTCATCTGTAACCAAGGAACCTTCTTTGGATCTTATCTGTAAAGTGAGAGGGTTACACTAGATAGTCTTTGGAGTTCTTTCTAGGGCTAAGATCTTAATCTTTTCTTGTATGAGCCTTTCTTTGCTAATAAAATGGAAAGTCTGAAAAATCTTAAGCAATATGTGAGATCCCTATATAATTTCCCTTTCATTTTTTTCTTCTCATTACCTCCACCACACTTCTTTGAAGAAATCAATGCCTAGAACTTCCAAGGAGCAGGCCTAGAGGCAAGCAACCCAGACGCAAGGACTTAGCAGTTCTTACCATTTGCAAATTGAGTTTTTGGATTCTGAAAACCAAACATAACCAAACACAACCATTGTGTGAACAAAGCATCAGGGCTTAGGAGCATTGATGAAAGAATAGGGAAAAAAAATGGATTTTTGTTGTTGAGTCATTTCAGTCATGTCTGACTCTTCGTGACCCCATTTCGATTTGCTTTGCAAAGATACTGGAGTGGTTTGCCATTTCCTTCTCCCGCTCATTTTACAGATGATCAACTGAGGCAGAGTTAAGTGACTTGCCCAGGGACACAGATAGGAAGTGTCTAAGGCCAAATTTGAATTCATGAGGATGAGTCTTCTTGATTCCAAGCTCAGTGCTCTATCCACTGCACCACCTAACTGTGCCCCTCCCCCAATGGATTATGTGTTACAAAATTGTTAAGTGTGATTGTACTTAAAATTTAAGGAATTCTATGACAAATTCCATTGATGCAAGATTTTGCAAATTAGGTGGCTGTACAATAAAGAGAACATCTTGTGGGCACTACTACAAAGAGACAAAATAAGTCCTTAAACAACATTATAATTACTGGTATAGAACTTTGCAAATTATACTTGTATGATATTTTAGGACTAAGAAAAGATTTGCATCATAGCAACACAGTGAAGTAGGTAAGGTAGGAGCTATTATTACAGGCCTTCTCTTTTATACTTTTGCCCCTAACTCAGACCTCCCTCCCTGACCTCATCCCTTCCCTCAGGAGAGGACATTACACAGTCTTTTACCAAGGAATTCAAAGTCATCCACCAGTACAGGTTCATCTCCTCCACTCAAACCACAAAGCAGTTCCACATCCTCCCCTACTCTTACCTGCTTTGCCCTTCTCCTTGCCAAGACTAACTACTCTACTTGCTTCTCGCCCTTCTCTATGAGCTTACCTTATGTACTACTCCCTCTCTCTTATTTTGAGTTTCTGCCTATTTAAAAGTTACTTCCCTGCCTACTACTACTCCCATCCCTACTACTAGGAAAAATAATAGTAATAGTCATAATTATAAAAGATAAGGTCGTTGCTGCTAGAAATTAGAGAAAGGTCCTTGTTAAAGAACACAGACATTGATCAATTTAGATTTTGCAAGAAACTGTACAACACAGCACAGGTTGCAAATATTGCTAACCCTCTGGGTATTTATAAAGACACCATCAAGTGGCCAAATTTATATACAAAAATTATGTATAACGAAGACTTCACGTCCTTCATAAACTAACAGATAACAAATCCCCATATTATAAAAGCAAGCCCCAACCACATGCTTGTGATTTCAACAAACAAACTGGAGCATTATCACAAATAAAACTGTTGCCTGTGATTGCCTACAACAATGCCCCATAACCATTTTTAAACATTTTAAATAGGTGTTGATTTAGGAGATATGCATAGACTTCAAACTACACAGAAGGAAAAAAACTCTCAAAATACTGAAACTTGGTGAAAGAAATTAAAATCTGGTCATCCTATCTGCTGCTACAGTTATCCCAAAGACGATTTCAGTGAGCCTAAAGAAGATAAGTTTAACATTAAAATACTTTTATTATTCAATTACAAAAACTATGGCCAATTCTAATAACCTGGATTGTTCTAACTGCTTCCCAATTGGTAACAGGCCCAAGGAAGGTAAATTATTTTGCTTAAGTCATGTAAGTAGTAAACTTCACAAGTGAGATTTGAACCCAGACCCTCTGAATCTAGTGGTCTTTCTGCTGTACTGGGCTCCCTCCCTGATCTAAGAATTTATTGTACTGTAAATAGAGTCTAATTTCTTCCCTCTCTAATCCATTCTCCTCAAAGCTGCCAAAAATAGTCTTGGTAAGGCAGTCTGATCACGTCATTCCCTTGCTCTAAAACTTCCAGTGGTTCCCTACTGCCTCTAGTATTAAAGGCAAACACCTCAGCCAAGCCTTTAAAGATCTCCCCAATCTTGCTCTAATCTATCTTTCAAGCCTTATTACATATGGCTCCCTTTCACACACTCTGTGTTCTAGCCAGAAGGGACTGTTTCTCTAAACTGGACATTGCATTTCCTGACTTCATAGATTCACTCAGCCTGATCCTCGTGTCTGGAATGTACTCTCCTCATCTCCCCCTATCCAAATCTTTCCCTTCCTTCAAGGCTTAGCTCAGAGGCCACCTTCTCCATGAAACTTTCCCTACATCAACCCAGTCTCTAGTAAGTATATTTCCCCATTTCAGTTACCTTGAATCATTCCTGCATTTATACATATTATTTCTATATTCTATAATAGTCTCTTTAGAGCAGCAAAGTGGCACAGTGGATAGAGTGCCTCTCCTGGAGTTAGGAAGACCCATCTTTCTGAGTTCAAATCTAGCTCCAAACACTTCCTAGCTGTGTTGCCCTGGGAACATCACTTATCTCTGTTTGCCTCAGTTTCCTCATCTGTAAGATCAGCTAGAGAAGGAAATGGCAAACTACTCCAATAATTTGCCACAAAAGAAACCCAAACGGGGTCACAGAGAGTTGGACATGACTGGAAAATGACTGAACAAACAGTCTCTTCAGATTTCTTACTAATTAAAGCTGTCTTAACTTTCCCTCTCTTTTCCCTCCCCTCCCCCAATAATTCTGAATTAGGCTTTTTACTTCACTTACTTTTAAATAAGGGAAACACTGAGAGCCAGATCTAATAATTGAAAAAAAGATTAGAAGTCCTAACATATTTCAGCTAAGTCTAGCCTACACCAGGTTTTTTGTTGTTTTGTTTTGGTTTTTTTTTTCTGAGTCTATGTTCCCAAACTCCCATGGGCAATGGCATTGTTATCACACCAAATAGCACAAGTCTGTTCATGTTGCTTACTGCACAATGATCTTGAAAGGCATTTTGGAGACAGAAGTATTGAATGAAAAAGGTAAAAAAGAGAGAGAAAGAATACTCACAGCTGTAAGTTGTGGTTACAGTCATGCACAAATGTCAAATTTCCTCTGTTCTAAATAGCATTTGTTTAAGCTTTCTTTATTTTCTATGATTTCATTCCTAAAAAGGAAAATGGAAAAGACATGTACAATGAAGGACTTGATTTAGAGCCTATCTATCTTTACTGAGTAAGCAGCACTTAGGGCTGTATTATTTGTCCAGTAGACACTCAGTAAATGTTTGTGGGTGATTCTGTCCTTATTTAGAAAATGTGTGTGTGTGTGTGTGTGTGAGAGAGAGCGGGAGAGAGAGAGAGGGTGGGGGGGAGGAGAACAGTAAATCAATGAGCTGAACCCTTTCTCAAAGAAGCCCTTGAAAAGGATTAAAAGAAGGAAATGTGTAAAGTCAATAGGCTCTGTACAAAAGAGATACTATCCCATAGCAAAAACAGCTTATGTAAATATACATTTTAAGAGAAATATTTTAGCCTCCTTGTCTCAAATCATGACCTCTGGGGTACTATTTTGAAGGTTGGGTAAAATAAATAGAACTAAAATAGAATATTTCCAGTGCTTAGCACAGTGCTGATACATAGTAGGTGTTTAATAAATGCTTGTTGATGATTCAATTTTTTTTGGTGACTCAATTTTTTAAGCTTCTTTTCAACTCTAAAATGCTGTGAATATCTATTATTATACCCCTTCTCCAAAAGAGGCCCTTTGTTGAGACAAAGGTTTTTCACCCCCAGTGCCTCTGTCTGAAGATCAAGGGTGGGGTGTTTAGGAAAAAGAAGGAACACAATTTTGGATCTATATATCACCTCTTTGTTTTTATCTGTTCAAGGTTTATTGTCCAAATAAAGCACAATTTATTAAAATCCATTTCATCCACTTTTGTTGAGAGCACACAGAACATACATGCACGACAGCACGGCTCGGGATATTGTGTTATCCTCATGTTCCTAAAGGCTTTGAGCTTTCCTTCTCTGCTGCATAAGTACTGCATGAAATGGGGAGTCAGATGGGATTAGAATTTTGTTAGCTACCTCAGAAATCCAAATACGAAACTCAGCACTCCAGGACATCTGACACTCTCCAGGGAACTTTTGTTCCAGAAATCGATGATTGGATTGCACCCATCTAAGTGAAGAGTGGGTTTTGCTGTTTTATTCTGCAACACATCGAGATAGTATTTGTTTCATAAGCATTGATAGTAGAATTTATCTCAGGATAAAAATAGTTCTTGTTCTATTGAAAATTCTTTGAAATTATTTCTTATATCTGAATGGTGAAATTTGGTACCATGATAGAAGTAAATTTTATGTGAAAGATTTTTTAAATAATTATCAAAGCCTGTACATATTTAAGAACTTCTTTTCTCTTTCATACACATTTACCATCCTAGCACCAAGTTTGCTTGATCTCTCCAGATTTCTTATGCGTTAGGATAGGATGAAAGAAAAAAAAACTACTACCTTCAAAATCTAGTGTAGACATACTACAAGGAAGTAGCAGGTAAGTGTGGCTGCCAGATTTCTTCTTTAAGTTAAAAGTTAATGGCTTTATATTCATAGTTCATATGGAAAATTCAAGTGCTTTATATTGGCTTATCCTGCAGAATGAAGATAAATCATGACGGCAAATTTAGGATGTTCAATTTAATTTTTAAATTGCTGGTACTTTGATACTCTCCTGTTGTGTTCCTTTCTTTACAGACTTTTATAGTATTGAATAAAGGGAAGGCAATTTTCCGATTCAGTGCCACTTCTGCCCTGTACATTTTAACTCCCTTCAATCCTCTTAGGAAAATAGCTATTAAGATTTTGGTACATTCATATCCTTTTTCAATGTGTTGATTTCCAATGTCGCTCCTTGACGTCTGCTCTTTGTAGATGTGTTTTTAAATAGTAGTTCACAAATAAGTTTGGGAGAAGTTCTCATCATTTTGTGTTGGTTGATATATTAGACTCTTTACCTTCCAGAAACCAGTGGGTTCCAAATTTGGTCAGTCACATAAATGCCATAGAAATAAACAGAATCATTAAAAGTTACTTAGACATTTGACCTCTTAGACTTACAATATGTGTGTGTTCAGAAATTGTGACTTCCAAGCCAAAAGATTTTGTTTGTTCGTGGTGGACCTAGACCTGTTATAGGTCAAATCCCACCTTTGTCATTTATTATCTATATGACCTTGAACAAGTTATATAACCTCTCCAGTCTTCAGTTTCCTCATTTGTAAAATTAAAATTGAACCAGATGCACTTCCAGCTCTAGAAATTGCGAGGATGGAAATCCCTTTGACTGAAATCCATTGATAAGCTATACCTCAGTAATTTTCAGTCTTAATCTACAGTATGGAGTTACCTGGGGCACTAAGGAATAAAATGACTGTGCTCATGGTCTCATAGGTATTAGTTCCAGAGGTAAAACTTGAACTCAGATCTTTCTGACTGTAGTACTGACTGACTCTCTAGACACCATACCGTATTGCTTCTCAGAGTTTGCTAGCACAAATTTTATGCAAGATTATGCTGTCCATACTGCCTTTATGGAATGTTCATCATTGTTGTACAAAGTTTGCCTTGGCAAACTTTCTTATACAATGTCCCTAAGGTCTTTGTGCAATTTTAAGCTGCTTTGGATTTCTAAAGCTTTTGTTAATAAGAGCCCTTCCACTCCTATGGGAAAACTCATTCTCTCTAGTGATGAACATTTGTCTGACAGTGACTCAGTTATCAGTAACTTGAATGGTTAAATTGTTAATATAGGATTATAATAACTTAAAACTGGGAGAAACTTTAGAGGTCAATTTTCGGTATGTACTTTTTTCAAGCAATAACTAAAAATAAAATATCCACAAAATTTTAAAAAAAGAAATATTTAAAAATAAAATTTGTCATAGCTCATCCCTTAATATTAAGTGGCTTTCTAGGCCTCAGTTTCCATAACTGTAAAAAATGAGAGCATTATACTAAATGACCTCCAAAGTCCTATCTCCAAGTCTATCATTCTATAGTATTCATATTAAACATTCAATTTCATTTTAAAACTTATGGCTTTGTGATTTTATTGGTTACATAAATGTATATTTCATAAGACTATTAAAATAACTCTAAAATTATAAAGATCACGGAGGAGGACCTAGATGCAAATGAAAGATTTGTCTTTCAATAATTCAGCTCTTGGCGCCATCATGTGGCTGTCTTCTAATAATTCTCTTTTTCTCTAGGCAAAAAAAAAAAGAGTAACAAAATGGTAGGCAAAGAGTATTGGTCCAGAAATCAGCAGGCCTGGGTTTTAGTCCAGACTCTGACACTAACTAGCTCTATGACAACAAGCAAATTATTCATTCCTTTCTTGACTTTAGTTTTCTTTAAAATATGAGCACTTGTTTTAATCTTAGACTAAATGATCTCTAGACTTCCTTTCAGCCCTGTGATTCCATGTTAAATTTTTGTTGCCTTCATGTTATCATTTTAAGGGTAGATGACCATAAATATAGTAAAACTGGATATGACTGAAATATGTGCTACCATTCCTTTAGTTGATTCTGTCATTAGCCTTCTGTTTTCTGGGCACTCACTCATTTCCATGGCTTCAACCTCCATTTCTTTGCATACGACTCTCACATCTATGTATCTCCAGCACTGACCTTTCCTCTGAACTGTATTTCCAAGTTCCTACAAAACCTCTTCACCTATGTATCCTACCAACACCACAAGCTCAATATCAATTAATAAGCATTTTTAGCATCTTTTATGTGCCGAACACTGTGTTAGCCACTAGGGATACAAATACAAAAGTGAAACATGTCCTACCTTTTTCCCCTAAACCTGATACTTCTCCTTCTGACTTTAATATTTCTATCAGTGACTACTACTCACTCAGTCAGCGATGTTTGAAACATTCTTGTTTATAATCAGTTATTGAGTTAGGTCTACTCTATCTCTGCAACATCTTTCACATTTATTCTTTCCTCTTTATTTCTACTTCTACCAGCAAAGTACAAGCCCTCATTATAAACCACTTGGATTATTGTAGCACTTTTCTGCACCCTTCCTCGAATCTGTCCTTCATACATCTTAACATGTCAGTTGTCCATATGAATAGATAGGGACATGCCCCTTTTCTGTTTAAAAAAAAGTCTATGCCCTATTGCTTCTGAACAAAATTCAAACTGCTTCCTAACATTTAAAGCCTATCGTAATCTAGCATCATCCTCCTTTTTTTTAACCTCATTGAGGTTTATTACTCCACTCAATGAACTCTGCTTTGACAAAACTCAACTACTTGTGTCCCCCAAATATGCTTTGCATTTTCCTACTTCTGTATCTTTTTCTCTTGCTTTTCCTGTTTACCTTTTCTATTCCCACCCATCCTTCAAAACCCAGCTCAAGTGCCAAACCTCCCATTTGGCCTGCCCATAGGTCCCTTCTCAGTTACATTTTCCCTTTCAGACCTCACACAGCACGTTGTATTATACCTCTAAGATGCACTTCTGATATATTATTGTGTAGTGTTGTTGTTATTATTACTATTATCTATGTGTCTTATCCCCCTATGAGAATATAGACTCCTTGAGGATAGGGAAACATTTTTATATAAACTTTATATTTCCCCTTGCATCTAAAACAATGTTCTACACACAGTTGACACTTAAGAAATATTTATTGAATGGAATGGAACTGAAATAAATGTAATTAACAGAAAAGAACACAAAAGAGTCATTCTCCACCTGCCTGGTAGTTTTTGATTAAAAAAAAAAAAACTAAAGGGGAATAGACTCACACAATCTCAGTCATATCCAATCCTAATTTATTTGTATAAACCTGACCTAAAAAATGCATCCCCAAAGCTAGCATCATGCTTCCCTTTGATCATGGACTACTTTAATTTATCAACCCAAATGGGATAAATCTTCATTCATAAATATCAAACCTGAGGAGGGGAGAGGGTGATGTACTCTCAGCAGTTTTCTCTTTTGTCCTCTGAATGAGTTAAAGCTATTTCTTTCTGGTACAAAACTGCCCAATTCATTTCTGTATGTATAATGCCCACTAAAATGCCTTGGGAGTTTGATGTAATAAATTACTTCCACTTTGTTAGCTTTATGTAAAAGATATTTCTGTATTGTTTTGTGTTTTCCTTAACTATTACCTACATTATTCAGCATGCTTATTATGTGCACTATTTTGACAAACTGCGTGTTTATGACAATGAGCAATCCTCCCGACTGGACGAAGAATGTAGAGTAAGTTAACAATGTTATCTTATATCATTTCCATAACTTGAGCATATATATTTTAAGACATCATTTGGACCTTTGTATTATGGTTTTTATGGAGTCTCTGAACTTAGTCATTTAGGAAATATGATTATACCCCCAAACTATCAAACAATAAGCGTCTAATAAGGACCTAGTATGTGTCAGGCACTGTGCTAGGCACTGGGAACATGAAACAAAGGTGAAACAATCCTTGCCTTCAGGAGCTCACAGTCTAGCACATATGTATATGTGTATGTGTGTGTATTCCCAAAATCTTAGTGCAAACTCAATGTATGAAAGCTGCATGTAGGTAGATGCAAAATAGATGAAAGATGATTTTGAAGGAAAGGTAAGATTTGCTTGCTAATGGGCCTGGTCATATGAGAACTAATCATATGGGCCACTATCCTATGCTGTAGTTCTCACATTATAGGAAAGATGGTAGTGAGGAAAAATGAAGAGTAAATCTTTGGCAGGATCCAGAAAGCTGAATTTTCTTCCTGAGAACTTAGGGCCTCCAGGAGGACTGTGGGCATCCCAGAACTGATGCAGTAAAAAGCCAAGGAGAACTGTGGGCACCCCAGAACCAAAAAAGTAAAAAACCCAACATTTCCTTCCATCTGCCATTTTCTTCAGTTTCAGACCAATGTCCTTTTCAAAGGCAGGGCCTATGACCATTATGATAGCTATGAAAACAATTGAGGTCTGTTGCAGTGGAGTCTGAGGTAGCAAAGGCTAATGTCAAAAAATCTAGACTAAAAGTTATCCAAGACAGCGGCAGCTTTGTGAGACCTAAGCCTAGACTTTGTACAACATAGGTCTCACTGCCATGGTATCACTGAGGGAGATCTTTAGTATCTCACCAGAGGCAGGCAATGGAATCTTTGCTATTTTCTCTAACATCTATTGTCGTGTGCTGTTGAACCTAAAAGAAAGAGCAGAGAAAATATCTGGTGGAGGTGGCTTCTTTCTAGTATTTAATTCTAAGAGAAGTTATCATCGCCATCATCATCACATTTATATAGCACATGCTACTATGTGCCAGGCACCGTGCTAAATGCTTTATAAATATTATCTCATCTAATCCTCACAACCATCCTTGGAAGTAGATGCTACTATCATTCATGTTTTATAATTGAGCAAAATGGAGCAAACAGAGATTAAGTGGTTTACTCAGAGTCACACAACTAGTGAATGTCTGAGGCAGAGCTTGTGCTCAAGTCTTCTTGACTCCAGGCCCAGCACTCTATCCACTGCACCATCTACCTACCTCTAAGTGAAAAAGAGCAGAAGAGCAGCTTGTGGAATTGGTGTGTTTACCAATTGACTTCACCTCATTTGTCTGAGCTCTGCAAGTCTGAGCAGCAGGCCCGTGGGTTTGTCCCTTTGGAGTTCCAATAAACTACTGTTGGAGCTAGTCACTACTAGCCAGTTATAAAACTCTGTGATTTCAGAGCGACAAAATTGCAGGTTGCCTTTTGAACTGAAATTCTTGCACTGGTTTTTCCACTGCAAGAATTGGACTAGGCTGGAGGCTAGAACTGAATTCCCACTCTGCCCCTAGGGTCAGAGCTATGCAGATATTTCTTGCTTCTGCACTTGCCTAGGGCCCACCACCTGCCTCAGTACTGCTCACCCTAGAATGCCACTCCTAGATACAAGTCCCTTCCTCCATCCACCCTGGATCTGTGACTTTGTCCTTTGACTGTCAAGCAGACAGAACTTTCCAGGTGAAATGGGTAAAAAATTAATAGACTGAAAGATGTTGTCCACATCTAAATAGAATAGCATGCATGGGAAACAGCATTGAAAACCTGACACTACCTCAGGCTATTTTTGCCATTAAATTTTAATTTTTTATGACTCTTGGCTCAGTGACTAAGTGGCTTTAGGATTCCAAGCTCAGTGATCATGCTTCACCTTAACGCCAATAAAATACACCTGCCTTGGTTTTTCTATCTTCCATGATAGGAAACACAAGTAACACAGGTAGGCGAAAAATAAAAATGAAGCTGTTTGGACCTTGCTCTTCTTCATGAAACATCAATGAAATAGAATTTTAGCACTTTGAAGGAAAGTATTTATGCTTCTGACGTATTGTTGATTGACTGATCTGTCATATGAGTGCACTAAACAATTCCCAGGAGGCTCTATTCATTTATGATATTACCACATTATATTAGCACATAGAAATACAGCTAGGCTCTTCTAAGTACCATAAAATCATAGATTTAGACCTAGAAGGAGCCTTGGAAGCCCCCTAGTCCAACTTACTCATTTTATCTGTAAGGAAACAAAGCCTCAGGGAGGTAATCAACTTGCCTTAAAGTCATAGGAAGTAAATAGCAGAGCCAGGATTCATAACCAGACCCTTTGCCTCCAAATCCAGTTTTCGTTCCACTATGCCATAAAACCTCCTCATACTGTTCTCACAGAACTGAAAGAAACTTGATAGGATTTTTATTTGTATTTGTTCACTTCGTGTCACTTTATGTTGCTTTATCTTTATTATTGTTGTACAGCAACTGCTCACAGGCCTGATCCCACTGCTGACTGGCCCAGAAGCTTAGACCTGCTCTGTATCCAACCTGGGTTAGTTCATCCTTCCTTAGGCAACCTGATGACCCTTCCACTCCCAGAGACTTATATTGGCTCTGCACTTAGTTCATATACCTGATTCGTTTAGTGACTAAAAAACTAAACCTTAGTCTTACTACAACCCAGAATCTGTCAGCCTCAACTGCCTCAGTAGCAAGGACTGCAGATGTGTGGCACTGCGGAAGCTATCATAGTCATTCCTAAACATACTTCCCACCATACACATTCAGAAACATACACACGCACACACACACACATACACACACACACACACACACATGGCCCTTCTAACAGAGACACAGTTCAGCAAAATTAATCAATAGTCATTATATTTGAGAGCATATCAATTTATCATTTAAAAAGCATTAATATAATTAGTTTTCCTAAATGTAATTTATATATAGAATATTGTCTTATCTATGATAGATACAAATTTGAACTAGTTCCATTTCTTTCCAGTTTTATCTATTTATTTCATTAATATTTGATAAGCAATTAATGTTCTAGAAAGGAAAAAAATCAATTTATTATATTTTTGGATATTTGATTCCAGGTACACTTTCACAGGAATATATACATTTGAATCACTTATAAAAATCATTGCCAGGGGTTTCTGTTTAGAAGATTTCACTTTTCTCCGGGATCCATGGAACTGGCTTGATTTCACTGTCATTACATTTGCGTAAGTATTTTTTGAAACTTAATCGAGAATAAAATTTGCATTTTTAATGCCTTTTGTTTTAAAGTCTGGGCTTCCTACATCTAAAGGAAGTTTTATGATGATTTACAGATTCAGATTCACGTGTTTTAAATTCATACAAAAAGGTACAGTCTTAAGAGCTGAGAACGCTTGAAACAATTCACTTTCCCATCAGTTGTATAGCTAAGGAAAATTTCAGTTACTGAAAAACTCTATTCATGACATTTATTTAACAGTCATTGATTTATATTTATCATATATCTATATAACCACCTACATTCTCACTTAGATATGCATGTACTATTTCAGCCTTGCAAATTGATTTCAACTCATAAGCACAATAAAGGTTCTGCTTTCCCTTCCCCACCAAGACTTCTCATCTAGCTATGTCCAAGTCTTTCTTTAGGTTAAGGGAGAAAAGCATTGGACAACATTTTTTTATGATATTCTTGTGTATGAGGTGGAGAGATATTAACAAGATGATAATACAGTTTAGGCAGACTCAGAATTGGATGAATGACTAGACCCAAAGAGTAGTAATTCATGGCTCACTGTCACTTTTAGATGCAGGCTTCTATTAGAGTATCCTATAGTTCTGTCCTTGACTTTGCTGCTTAACATTTGTGACTTGGGTAAAAGCACAGATAACATGTTTACAGGTGACACAAAGCTATGAGGGATGGATAACACTGGATGCCTGTAGGATCCAAGAATAATTTAACAGAATAGAATTTGGGGCTAGTAAATGAAGATAAAATGTAATAGGCATAAACAGAAATGATCCACTTGGGTTCAAAATTTCCATTTCAAAAGTACATTATGGGGAATGTGTGGTTCAACAGTTTATCTGAAAGAAAAATGGGAATTTTAGTGAATCATTAGGCCAATGTACATCATCAGTACAATATGCCAGTCCATCCCTCTCCAAAAAAAAAAAAATCCTAATGCCACCTTAGATTGCATTAATAGGAGAATACTATCTGGAAGTCAGGAGATTATAATTCTACTGTATTCTTCTCTTGTTAGGTTACCCGCTGAAGTACTATGTTCAATGATAGGCACTTCATTATATGATCACTTGGAAAGTGACAAAATCATGACATTAAAATTAATTGATGAAACTGGGAGTATTTAGCCATAAGAGGAGAAAACTGAGGGAGAACTTGACAGTCAATGTTCAAGTAGTAAGATTGTTATGTGGAAGAGGGATTAGGTTTAGTCTGTTTAGCCTCAAAGGGCAGAATTGGAAGCAATGGATGGAAGATGAAAAGAACCAGATTTAGGCTTTGTTGCTATTCTATAAAAGTGAAATGAGCTGCCTCAGAAAAGAATCAGTTCTCCCTCTTTAAACCCTCAATTACCACTTGTTTGGGATGTCATATAGGAGATTCTCAATCAGATTTGGTTTGGATTACATGATCCCTGATGTACCTTCTAACTCAGGTATTCTATGATTCTGAATGCATGGGCATTTGCCTGCTATAAATACTCTGATCAATCCAACCAAAATACAATTGGAAGGAGAAATAAATTATATTATATCTCTATTACATTACTTAATATTCTTTAGCTTCTGATTTCATTCCCATTAGTTCTTATTTCATTCTCTAGTGACTTATTTTAAACTTTGGGCACAAAGACAAGTATGTACTTCCTTGATTATAATTCTCTCTCCTTTCCTCTTCTTCCCTTCCCTTCCCTTCCCTTCCCTTCCCTTCCCTTCCCTTCCCTTCCCTTCTCTTCTCTTCTCTTCTCTTCTCTTCACTTCTCTTCTCTTCTCTTCTCTTCTCTTCTCTTCTCTTCTCTCCTCTTCTCTTCTCTTCTCTCCTCTCCTCTTCTCTCCTCTCCTCTCCTCTCCTCTCCTCTCCTCTCCTCCTCTCTTCTCCTCTCCTCTCCTCTCCACTCCTCTCCTCTCCTCCTCTCCTCTCCTCTCCTCTCCTCTCC